GCAGCAAAAGCAGTTCTAAGAGGAAAATACAAAGCAATTAAACTCTATCTTAAGAAGCAAGAAAAGTCCCAAATACACAACCAAAGCTTACAGTTAAGGGAGCTAGAAAGGAAGCAGCAAATAAAGCCCAAAGCCAGAAGAAGAAGGGAAACAATAAATATTAGAGTAGAAATAAATGACATAGAATTTTTTAAAAAACAGTAGAACAGATCAATGAAAAACTAAGAACTGGTTTTTTGAAAGAGTACACCAAATTGATAACCCTCTAACCAGACTTCTCAAAAAGAAAAAAGAAAGGACCCAAATAGATAAAATTGAACCATTGATCCTTTCCATAGACGCTGAAAAAGCATTTGATAAAATACAGCATACTCCCTTGATAAAATCTCTCAAAAAAAGCAGGGATAGAAGAATATACCTTAACATCATAAAAAGCCGTATATGAAAGGCACATAGCTAGTATCATCCTCAATGGGGAAATACAAAACTTCCCCCCTAAGGTCAGGAACACAACAAGGATATCCACATTTGCTACTGTTCTTCAACATAGTACTGGAGTCCTAGCCTCAGCAATTGGACAACAAAAAGAAGTCAAATGCATACAAGTCAGCAGGAAGAAGTCAAACATTCATTCTTCACAGATGACATAAAGCTCTGGAAAACCCAAAAGTCTCCACCATAAAACTGCTAAAAATGATACATGAATTCAGCAAAGTCGCAGGGTATAAAATAAATGTACAGAAATCGGTTGTGTTTTTATACACAAATAATGAAGCACACAGAGTAATCAAGGAATTGTTCCCATTCACAAGTGCAGCAAAACCCATAAGACACATAGGAATAAACCTAACCAAAGAGGTAAAAAAAAATATGTATGCTGAAAACTATAGAAATCTTATGAAAGAAATTGAAGAAGTTACTGGGAACCTTGGTGGCTCAGTCGGTTAAACACCTGACTTTGGCTCAGGTCATGATCTCAGGTTAGTGGGTTCGAACCCCGTGTCGGACTCTGTGCTGACAGCCAGCTCAGAGCCTGGAGCCTGTTACGGATTCTGTGTCTCCCTCTCTCTCTGACCCTCTCCTGTTCACGCTGTCTCTCTCTCTCTCTCTCTCAGAACTAAATAAAAACATTAAAAAATTAAAAAAAAAAGAAATTGAAGAAGTTACATTGCATTGGAGAAACTTTCCATGCTCATGGAAGAATTATTGTTAAAATGTCGATACTCCCCTAAGGAATCTACACGTTCAATGTAATCTCTATCAAAATAACACCAGCATTCTTCGTAGAGCTAAAATAAACAATTCTAAAATTTATAGGAAGCAGAAAAGATCCCAAATAGCCAAAGTAATGTTGAAAAAGAAAAGCAAAACTGGAAGCATCATAATTCGAGACTTGCTATATTGTAAAGCTGTAATCATCAAGACAATATGATACTGGCACAAAAACAGACTCCTAAATGAATGGAATAAATAGAGTACCCAGAAATGGACCCACAAAGACATGCCTAATTAATCTTCAACAAAGCAGGAAAGAATATCCAATGGAAAAAAGACCATGTCTTCAGCAAATAGTGCTGGAAAAACTGGACAGCAACGTGCAGAAGAATGAAACTGGACCACTTTCTTACCCTACATACAAAATTAAATTCAAAATGGATGAAAGACCTAAATGTGAGACAGGAAATCATCAAAATCCTACAGGTATCACCCTCTTTGACCTTGGCCACAGAAACCTCTTATTTGACATGTATCTGGAGTCAAGGGAAAAAAAACAAAAATGAACTATTGGGACCTCATCAAGGTTAAAAGCTTCTGAACAGTGAAGGAAACAATCAAGGAAACTAAAAGGCAACTGATGGAATGGGAGAAGATATTTGCAAATGATCTAAAGGGTTAGTATCCAAAATCTCTAAAGAATTTTTCAAACTCAACACCCCCAAAAAACAAACAATCCAGTGAAGAAATGGGCAGAAGACTCAGAGACACTTTTCCAAAGAAGACATCCAGATGGCTAACAGACACATGAAAAGATGCTCAACATCACTCATTATCAGGAAATACAAATCAAAACCACAATGAGATACCACTTTACACCTTAACAATTCAGGAAACAACAGATGTTGGTGAGGATGCGGAGGAAGAGGAACATTTTTCCACTATCGGTGGGAATGCAAGTTAGTGTAGCCACTCTGGAAAACAGTATGGAAGTTCCTCCAAAAGTTAAAAATAGAACTGCCTTGCAACCCAGCAATTGCACCACTAAGTATTTATCCAAAGGATACAAAAATTCTGAACCACCAAGGCACATGCACCCCAATGTTTATAGCAGCACTATCAACAATAACCAAATTATGGAAAGAGCCTAAATGCTCATTGACTGAGGCAAGGATAAAGATATATATTGTATATTGTGTGTGTGTATATATATATATATATACACACTATATATATATGTGTGTGTGTGTATATATATATACACACTATATATATATATGTGTGTGTGTGTGTGTATATATATATATATATATATATATATACACACACACACAATGGCATAGTACTGGTGATGAAAAAAGTGAAATATTGCCATTTGCAACAATGTGGATGAAACTAGAGGGTATTGGATAAGTAAGATAAGTCAGAGAAAGACAAATATATGATTTCCCTCATGTATGGAATTCAAGAAATGCAACAAATGAACATAGAGGAAGGGATGGAAAAATAAGATAAAAAGGGAGAGAGGCAAATCATAAGAGACTGGTAAATACAGAGAACAAACTGAGTATTGTTGGAAGAAAGGTGGGTGATGGGATGGGTTAAATGGGTGATGGGCTTTAAGGAGAGCACTTGTTGGGATGAACGCTGGGTGTCATATGTAAGAGATGAATCACTGGTATCACTCCTAATACCACACTACACTGTATATTAACTGACTTGAATTTAATTTTAAATTTAAATTTAAATTTTAATTTTAAGACATTTCACCATTTGCAGAGACATGAATAGAGACAGTATTATGCTTAGTGACATAGGTCAGTGAGAGAAAGAAAAATACCATAGGATTTCACTCATATGTGGAGTTTAAGAAACAAAACAATTGATCATAGGAGAAAAAAAGAGGTAAACCAAAAAACCTCTTACCTATAGTGAACACATTCATGGTTACCAGAGGGGAGGTTGTTGGGGGGATGGGTGGAATAGGTGATGAGATCAAAGAGTACACTTACAATGATAACATCAAGTAATGGTTAAGGTGTTACATTGTACATCGGAAAGTAAAATAACACTGAATGCTAATTATATGAGAATTTAAATAAATAAAATCTTGAAATAACTTCTGTTTTTTAAATTCCAACTATAAGCTTAGATTGGTTTGTTTTGATATGTTTTGTATTTCTATAAATGTTGGGCCTTTTTATTTAATCACACAGCATATATCTTTATAGACTATATGCATGTTCTGATGTAAAATACATTGCATAAGTAAAATCTAGCTCCTTAACACTGCCTTTCCACCCAGTACCATCACTTTCCCTATAGATAACTGAATTTTACTACTGAAGTTGCCTTATGTTTATTTGAAGAGAATGTGAAAATATCAATTTATGTTTTGTACTTTCTCACATCATTGGCAGTATACTATACAATACTATACGTATATTTCTCCATCTTTTTGTGTTAAACAATAAACAATATATCCTGGAGATGAGATCATAGCAATAAATGAAATATTATTCATTCCTTCGTATATCTGTCAAGTCATCTATTTTGTGGCTGTAATATTTTCTATTGAAGGACATTTGAATTTTGTGTTTTACCATTTCAAATAGTGCTATAATTGATACCTTTAAGCATATATCTTTTTAAAAAATTTCCAGATTTTTTTGCCCCCCCAACTTTATTTGGTAAAACTGACAAATAAAATCATGTATATTTAAAGTGTACAATACCGTGATTTGATATACATGTAAATATGGTGAATTGATTACCACAATCAAGTTAATACAACCACCTCACTTTTGTGTGTGTGTGTGTGTGTGTGTGTGTGTGTGTGTGTGTGGTGAGAACACATAGGATCTACTCTCTTTTCAAGTATTACTATAGTATAGTATTATTACATGGTATTATAAGTTATAGTCACCATGCTATACATTCACCTTATAACTGAAAGATGTACTCTTTCACCAGCATTACTAATTTCCCCTACTTTCTAACCAGCGCCAACCACCAATCTACTCTCAATTTTTATGGCCCAGATTCTTCAAAGTAGGATCACTGGTGTTAAGTGTAAGTGTGTGTGTGTGTGTGTGTGTGTGTGTGTGTGTGTGATTTTCCTAGAGATGGACATATTTGCCACATTATAGTCTCTAACATTTTGTGTACACACCAACATTGTATGAAAGTAACTGCTTCTCCACAGTTTCACCCACAGAATGAAACTTTGCAATTTCCTCAAATCTAATAGAGGATAAATGATATCTTAGTATAGATGCCATTTCTAATTTGCATTTCCCATATTACATGAAAAATTGGATATGTTTAAGTACCTTTTGCATTTTTTAAAGTTTCCACTTAGATTCATCACAATTCACTTGTCTCTTATTACCTAACCCCTCAAGTTCAGACACAAAATATATTGTTAGCAACCAAGGAGTATCTAGACCTGCAATATGCAACCCCTGGACCCTGTTTGCATCTTATGCATTTGTCCCTCGCACAAAGTACCCTAGATAAAGTTTTTCCCTTAGTTAATGTTTCCCTGTCATTTCCTGTGACACATGTTCAACTTACTATCTTTTATGCTTTTACATAAAATGATAACCCTACAAAAAGATAAGGAGGATATCAGTCAAATGAATTGATGATCTATCAATGATCAGAACTTATGCATTCATAACAGGATGTCAGGAACACCAAAAACGGACTATGTATGCATTTATCTTAAAAATAATTTTTGAAGAATTATTATGTGCATGGCCATTTTTCAAGATTATATTCAGTAGAAAGACCAGTGCTGGGTATGAAGTAACAATCATGTATAGAATTATTCTGTCCACTAAGCAAAAAATCCAGATTTCTGTCCATTTTCCCAAGAAAGGTAATATGAAAGAAGGATTCTTGAGAGCTGATTGCTCACACTGTCAATAGTCATTAAGTTGGTGGTTGATTCAAGAGTGAATTATGGAAATGTCTGTGATACTCCTTGAGGGCAGTGAGTCAGGATTGCTTCAAGGAAGTCACAACATTGAAAATAATTCAGGAATCTTGCTGCTTCACTTATCCCATTATCATCCCTGACATGCTAAAGTAGGTAGGCTTGCTCAGAGCCCTCAGAATCCCTAAAAATCTCTTCTTTTTTAAGAAGACGTTTTGCATCACTCACCACAGTCTCCAGGAAATAATTTTGCAAATAGAAAATCTTCCTAAAGTAAACACCAGTGGCAATGAGGCCTCCACTAATAGAGCAGAATTTTTCCACATATCCTAACAGCTTTTTCCCTAAGGATTCATCCTTCTCAACTGATAACAAATGGGGAGATATAAGGTTTGCCTTGAGTTTCTCCACTGACACATTCAAGTCCTTGGCCATGGTTTCCAGGGATGTGTCATCCAGCCCAAAGTAAGACCTGTAAAGGGTTAAAGTCTCCTCCAGCTTCTCCACATCATTGTTACTGATTAATCCCATGAGAGGGATGGTAGCAGATGTTCCAGCCTTCAGAGCCTCCAGCCAGACCTTCTGTTTCAGGGAATCCCTCTTCTGGTCAATGGCGGCCTCGGTAACATTCGGCAGACATTTCATGAAGATGTGGCGCTTGTGGGCTGGGAGCTCCCTCAGAAGGGTGGTCTCCAGGTTTTGGAAATCATAGCTAGATAGCTCAAAACTGGAAATTAAGAAGACCTGAGCATCATTCACATTGGCCCTCTGCAGCTGTGTCACACAGTCGTTGCGGATCCTTTGCAGGATTTCATGCTCATTGAATGTGGTGGGTTTACTCAGTTTTAGACTATGTAAGTCACTGTCCACTTTAGTTCGAATAAAGTAGAAATTTTTCTTCATTTTTCTAATTGCTGTAGCCAGTTGTGCATCATAGAGTTTGAAGCGTGTAGCAGAGATGATAATAAAGAAGTCATACTCACCAAATTTCATTTCCTCCAGATACTTCCGTGGTTGAAAGGTAGTGGTGCCCATGCCTGGCAGGTCCCATAATGTCACATTGGGAAACTTTGGGTGGCTGTATGGGGTTCTCTCTAAGGTTGTCTCCAGTTCCCCGGTGGAAGCAGCCAATTCGTCCTCATGCCCCAATCCCCGCAAGGCATTGATGAAGGTGGACTTCCCTGTCCCAGACTCCCCAGTCACAGCAATGCTCAGTGGGGCATTGTCAATGTCTCTCAATGCATCATTAATAGCAGAAACAGCTCTTTGAAGGTCCCCCTCCTTCAGGTGTGATTGAATCAACTTGATGGTTTCCTGAGAGAGGATTTTGCTTTCCAGCTTGAATTCTTTAAAAAACTTGTCAAAGCTCGAGGCCAAGTCACCATCCTTTTTATTAAAGGATGTAGAAGAATAGGGCTGACTCATGGCTGGAGCAGTAGAGGGCACTAGAAGGAGGAGAGAAGGAAAGAAAGAGTTAGTACAGGGGTGGCTTTGGGTGTGCTGTTATGGGCAAGGAGAACATTTTATCACAACATTTTATCAAGGGGTTCATCTCTTTATGTCCAGGCACCACATGGACTTCTGACCTGGATGTAAAGTTTGCCTTTTCTTTTCTTATCTTGGAAAACCGTTCTTAAAGATGTGCCTCATTCTTCCAGACTAATTTCAAAGCCTGATTCTTCCATCCAAGTTTACCTCACTACATTATTCTTTATCTTGCTTCATCTTTTTTGATTTGTGATGCTATGAAGATAATACTTCTTAATGGTAGCAAATTTAATAAGATAACACTAGCATTCACCACCACACCCCTTCTTACCTGTGGTGTGAAACCCACTTATAACTTCCAACATCACCATGTAATAATAGATCTTGGTTTTCATATGAGGCAGCTAAATAAGAATTAATGGTCCCTTTCCTTCTCTGAAAAGAAGATTTATATCTTCATTAGGAAATAGAAAATTTTAATGATTGTGAATGTAGTTTCTTTCATCTAGAAAGTATGCTGGCTCATGAAACAATTTGTTTAAGAAGCATTAGGTAGTAGAAGCATTAGGTGCCATGGATTTCCATGTTTTAAAAAAATGTTGGACTATCCATTGGGACTTGCTATGAGTCACTGCAACTGTCCTGAGACCCAATCCATCAACTGTGTCATACCTGCATATGAAAGGGGACAGAAATCAGGTGAGGGAGATAATCCACCTGGAGGAATGACTGCTGTATAGAATGTCATTGATGTAAAAGATGGTGTTAATAAAGACTTCCCTCTGTCATCTTTCCTGATGTCAATGAAACTGAGCTAATTCTGGAGTCCTGGACCTCCTTTGGGGAGCAGGCAGCACACAAAGCAGAATGAGCAAGCCTGAGCGTGGAAGAAGCATATACAATCTGGGTATCAAGGAGGAGACACAAGGTGAGACTTCAGTCCTATCAAATATAGTCTCATGCCTGTGCATTCTCAGAACATGTGGGGGAAAATACACAGGAGGGTGAGGAAATCTTTGACGAGACAGGTACTGAATAAAGGGAAAGGAAACTAAATGATAGAGCTAGAAGGCAAGCAGATATGAACAGCAAAATTCTGTGTGCTCTGCAAATTTCAACCACACAAAGTTGCCTTTTATTATATAAAGAGAGGCTTTGGAAACACAGGATAGCTGCTTGACTCTTCCTGACTCCCTGGTAAAGTCAATTTTTGTTTTTGTTTTTTATTCCTTCACCCATCATAGTGTTTAAGATAACTCACATTATGACTAGGCATATATTTTTATATATTTTTTTAAAAATATTTTTTAAATGTTTTTTTAAAAAGTTTTAAATGTTTTTATTTATTTCTGAGAGAGAGACAGCGTGAGCAGGCTAGGGTCAGAGAGAGAGGGAGACACAGAATCCGAAAGAGTCTTCAGGCTCTGAGCAGGCAGTCAGCACAGAGCCCGTCGTGGGGCTCAAACCCACCAACTGTGAGATCATGACCTGAGCCGAAGTTGGACGCTTAACTGACTGAGCCACTCAGGCGTCCCTTCTATAAAATTTAAAAACAATTTATCACCAATGTCTGACTTGTCTGGTGCATTATCCTGAAAAAATTACTTCTGCCCCCAGATGCCTCAGACCCATTCCCTTTGGACTTTGAACAAATGCAACTGGTCTTTACTCAAGTACTACCCACTATAAACTATCAATACGCTCTTGTTATTGTATGTATGCTTTTCAATTATGGTTGAAACTTCCCCCTGCTACAAGGCTGATGCTCTCACATTGGCAAAGAAACTGTTAGAAAATGTGTTTTCTATTTGGAATATAGTGTCCACAATCTTCAGTAAATGAGGTAGCCATTTCATTGGACAAATTATACTAGTTTTCAAACTAGTTTTCAACCTTTCAAATTTTGTGGAATTATCACTGTCCCTATCACCTCAATCATCAGGCAAGGCTGAGAGAGCTAATGGGATCCTCAAACTCAAAAATTTTAAATTAACCAAAAATACTGGACTCCCCTGCCTTACAGTATAGCCTTTGGACTTTCTGACTCTTTGCACTACCATCTTTGGCTAATGGAAACTCACCTCACACAACATAGTCACTGGTGGGTCAATATCTATTGATATACAGCTTTCTGCTGATCCCTTGTTGTTTCATGTTAGTATGACTAACTACAGCAAAGTCTGATTTTACACTCAAGCCTAAAATCAACAGGTTAAAAGAGTCTTCCCAGATCATAATTCAAAAGATCCTGTTGGTCATAGTGAAGAGCCTATGGTTATTCCAGACTGGTTATTCTGGAATTATCAGAAGAATGCACCTTTTGAACCTGATTGAAAGGGATCTTACCAAGTATTCCCAACCATTGTTACAGAATGAGAAGGTGTTGAGTCTTGGGTACACATCTCACAGCTAAAGAAAGCTTTAGTTGACACCTGGTTCTCTACAGATGCTACATTAATCCTGTACATCAACCAAATTAATGAGGAAGAGAAGTAGCTGGCATCGAGGTAGGCTGCTTTGACCCAAGACAACAGATCAAGTCTTCATACTTTAACTAAATATGAAAGTCTGTCTCATTTTTTCCCTTTCCTTTACTCTTGGAAATATAATACCCTCAGCTGTATGTCCCAACTCATTGCTAAAAAGGGGGTAACCTCCACAATGTAAAAATAAGCTAAGAGATAATCTGATTATGACTTAAAGTTTTCTCAAGCAAAATAAAACATCTGATTAGTCAACTCCCTTGGATTTACATAGAGCTATGTAAATCTCTATGCTTCCTTTGGCGGAGCTAGGATTTCCTGGTTAAGAGTAAATGCACATGACAGTTTGATCAGTAACCTATCGTTAGCTCCTAAAGATATTACAGAATCCATTCCTAAGAATATACCTGCCCAAAAAAGGTACTTAGACTCTCAGGACAAAAATTCTATTGACAGTAAGATACCCCCTGATTATCTTTTAGCTGAGCAGGAGCTGTCTATACCATGACCAACACCATCTGGTGCATCTAGATTAACATTTCTGGGGAAGTTGAAAACAACTATATAGGATCACTGAGCAAGCCTTTTTGCTTAAAAATATGACTCCTTTAGTGAGATCTTTGACATATTTTATTTTGATTTTTTTATGTCTTGATAACCAAAGTGCACTCTAACCATTAAAAATTATTCTGCTTATGAAAATTATAATGTGACAAGTACATGTATTCCCTCAAAAGTTTTAATGCCTGTTCACAGATGCTAACCATCAAGTAAATAACCTCCCTGAGACTGAACCATCAGAAAAAAGAATGAAGAGGATGTGACATTAAAAAAAAAATGTGAACCTGAAGTCCTCACCTGTGAGTATCTCAAAGATTAAGTGAAAACATCATGACATGTGAATACCATGCAAAGGATCATCAAAAGCTGCAAGAAGCACTGAACAGTAGCTGAAAGTGGCACCAGTGCCTCCCATTTTGATCACATCTCTGAGTAAAGCTGAGAGTCTGATTAAAAGAGGATAATTGTGAAAAAGAAGGGCCACAGGGCCATAAGACCACAGGGCATAGGAAGCCATATTAAGTTAAGGCCTTGACTTAGCAAACCAAGATTTAATACCTAACCTAACTACAGCTTCGTTCCCCCAGGAATGTCTCCTTTAAAGTAACATAGAAATTTCCTAGTTAGCCCTAGGAAACTTTTAAAATAATTTTTTAAAGTTTATTTCTTGACAATCCATAAAACTAATAGGCAACCGACAGAATGGGAAAAGATAGTGGCAAATGGAATATCAGATAAAGGGCTAGTATCCAAAATCTATAAGGAATTTATCAAACTCCACACCCGAAAAACAAACAATCCAGTGAAGAAATGGGCAGAAGATATGAGCAGATACTTCTCCAAAAAGGACATCCAGATGGCCAACAGACACATGAAACGATGCTCAGCATCCCTCCTCATCAGGGAAATACAAATCAAAACCACTCTGAGATACCACCTCACGCCAAACAACCCAGTGAAGAAATGGGCAGAAGACATGAACAGACACTTCTCCAAAAAGGACATCCAGATGGCCAACAGACACATGAAACGATGCTCAGCATCCCTCCTCATCAGGGAAATACAAATCAAAACCACTCTGAGATACCACCTCACGCCCGTCAGAGCGGCTAAAATGAGCAAACCAGAGGACTCTAGATGCTGGCGAGGATGTGGAGAAATAGGCACCCTCCTACACTGTTGGTGGGAATGTAAACTGGTACAGACCCTCCGGAAAACAGTGTGGAGGTTCCTCAAAAAATTAACAATAGAACTCTCCTATGACCCAGCAATAGCACTGCTCGGAATTTACTCAAGGGATACGGGAGTGCTGATGCCTAGGGGCACATGGACCCCAATGTTCATAGCAGCACCCTCAACAATAGCTAAAACATGGAAAGAGCCTAAGTGTCCATCAACGGACGAATGGATCAAGAAGATGTGGTTTATCTATACGATGGAATACTACATGGCAATGAGAAAGAGTGAAATCTGGCCATGTGTAGCAAAATGGATGGATCTTGAGGGTGTTATGCTGAGCGAAATAAGTCACGCAGAGGACAAATACATATGTTTGCACGTATAGGAGGATTAGGGGGAACTTAAGGGAGGACCGTGGAGGAGAAGGGGGGAAACAAGGAGAGAAGGAGGGAGGCAAACCACGAGAGACTCTTGAATGTTGAGAACAAACTGAGGATTGATGGGTATTGGGGAGAGGGAAAGGGGAGTGATGGGCATGGAGGAGGGCACTTGTAGGGATAAGCACTGGGTGTTGTATGGAAACCAACATGACAATAAACTATTAAAAAAATAGAGTGTATTTCTTTATTTTGAGACACACACACACACACACACACACACACACACACACACACAGCATGAGCAGAGGAGGGGCAGAGAGAGAAAGAGAGAGGGAATCCCAAGCAGACGTGGGGCTCAAATTCACAAAATTGTAAGAGATCATGACCTAAGCTAAAATTAAGAATCGGACACTTAAGCAACTGAGTCACCCAGGCACCCTGGAAATTTGTTAATAGACCTTCTCTCTTCCCCTGAGGAGAGTGATCTTGACAAAAACAATGGATTCTTTGTTAATAATTTTTCTGTTTCCCTTCTCTTCCTTTAAAAAACATTCCCACGGCACAGTGGAGCGCCTTTCTATTTGCTAGATAAGATGCCTAATTCATGAATTATTTAATGTAGTTTTTTCAAATATATTCAGTTGAATTTTGTTCTTAAAATGATAATATGTATTGTCTCTCCAGTGAAAGGGTTTTTAGACATGAGATGGGAGAGTATCCGAGGGCAGACTTCTTGGGGGAAAGCCCCTATCCACTGATACCCTTGGCATTCACGTGATCCTTCTGTGGTTCACAGGAATAAAATTTGTTCTGCAAACGTCTTCTAAAAACTACCCAAATAGTTCAATTCTCTAAATGACTCACAGCCATCCACAGCCATCCTGCCTTTCAGCCTTTCAAGTCCACAGCACCCAAAACTGGGCATCTAGGCCCTCCCACACTTAGCCCTACAAATCTATAATTCTATTTTTAGACCAGCACTCAATCCAAAGTGATTTCTCACTTACCAGCTCCTGAAAGAAAAGAGACTTGGTGTCAGGGTTGAGCTATGAATATGTCCACTGGCAGTGCATGAAATGCTGTGTCTGGTTGAAATGTTCCCAGCTGCCCACAACAGGATCACTCACTCTTGTACACAGACTGGCCTTGCACTGGAACAGGTCCTGTGTGCTGGTGTGGTCACTGCAGAGATTGAAGAGCTGACTGTCATCCAGTGTTTAAATTGTGTGTGAGGAGCTGGCAGGACAGAAATAATCTCTGGTCTCTGCTCCACCCTTACATGAATCTGGCCAATAGTAAAGAAGTAGTCATCACATTGCAGAGCCCTGCATTTCCAAGAAAAAAAAGTGAAATCAAAGTGTTGAGGGCTCGTTTTCTGAGAAACACAGCCATTGCCAAGAAATGAAACTGAAAGCCACCATAGGCACTCATTTTGGTTTGTTTTTTTGGCATCATGAGTGAGATGAGGGCACAAGACCCCAGGAAGAAGGATTCTCAGTGACCCCTGAGAGGACCCTAACCAAGCCCCAGACTCCAGGAAAGGTATTATCTGAATTCAGAATCAGAGAACATATGGCTGAGTCATGGGAAAATGACACTTATGACCCCTCTGTTAACTTTGGACAGCCTAAACTCTATGGGGAATGAAGTCTAATATAGAGTATATCTAGTTCCTAGCACAGAGCTTCAAAAGCCATGGAAATTCTCTGAGTGATAGAAATTGACTTTATTATACTAATGAAGTGACTCCTAGCTGGTTTCTAGATAGCTTCAGGTCAGTGGCTGGTCACCAGAGAAACCAATCCTGTGAATAGAAGGTAGGGACTTGGACCAGCTTGACCTCTGGAGAGGAGAAACGGGTAAGATTGAATTCAATCAAGTGGCTATTGATATGATCAATCATGTCTGTGTAATGGAACCCCCATCAAAACTTTGGACACCAAGGCTCATTGGGCTTCTTTGTTGATGACTGCAATGGTGTTATGTAAAGGTGATGTGTCCTGATTCCATGGGGAGAGGAATGAAAGTTGTGTACTCCCTCCCATATCTCACTCAATGTGTATACTTTTAAATAAAACTTTACTTTTACCTATAAAACTTTCCCGACCTCTGAGAATAATTGTAATTAATTATCAAGAATGACGGGGTTATAGGAACACTCAAAATTGTAGGCAGTTGGTTACAGGTCCAAGTGACCTAGGGAAAGCCCCGCAAGTGCAGCTAGTGTCTGAAGTGAGGGCAGTCCTCTGAAGAACTGAGCCCTGAAACCTGAGGAGTCTGCTAACTCTGGTGATTAGGGCAGGAATTAAAAGATAATATACCCATTTGGAGTCAAAACTGAATAGGGAGTAACCCTTGGTAGTCATATTCTGGCTTTAATTTTTTTTCCATTTATCTCTTGAATAGAAATCCACTATTATAATTCAATGGATGTAAGGTGTATACAATAATATGTCCCTCTACACACAATAACCATTCATGAAGTTTCTGTACTAGGCAGGTCGTGTCATCCTTACAGGTCAGTTTAACGAACATATGAGAAAATATGGACATCTATTTTCTCATTTTTACAAAAATGGCAGCATTTCCTACACAATGTCTTCTACCCTGAATTCTTCATTTGCTATTTTCTAACTGTTCTAGATGAGCACACTCAAAGCCCCTCCTGTTAAAAATATTTTTATTAACACTTTTTCAAACAAACATCTGTTTTCCTGACAGGTAGCTGAAGAAATAAGACCTTTGTGAGCTACAGTTCTATAAATCTGTCATTTCAAAAATAAGAAGAAAAAGAAATGGACCTACCATCAGTTCAGTAAACTGTTGTGATGCCCTGCAAATAGCAACTCTCTCCTCCAATGTGGAGTTTATCCATTCCTCCCACCAGAAAAGTTTTTGATTAAAGAATAATTAATATAAAACATTATATTAGTTTTAGGTACAAACATATTGAATCAACAATTCTATACATTACTCAAAGCTCACCAAAATAAGTGCAGCCATCGTACAACATTGTTACAATATTATTGACTATATTCCTTCTGCTGTACTATTCATCTTTCTGACTTATGTATCTCATAACTGGAATTTTGTTGCTTCTTAATTTCCTTTATTTATTTTATATTTCCCCTAACTCACCTCCCCTCTGGCAACTACCAGTCTGTTCTATGTATTTCATAGTCTGTTTTTTTGTTTGCTTTTTCAGATTCCACATAAAAGTAAAATTACATTGTATTTCTCTCTTTCTGACTTATTTCACTTAGTATAATACCTTCTAAGTCATTCATGTTGTCATATTTTATGGCTGAATAATATTCCATTGTGTGTGCCTGTTATATCTTGTGTATCCATTCATCTATCATTGCACACTTGCATTGCTTCCATATCTTGACTATTATAGATAATGCTGTGATAAACATATAGGTGCACATATCTTTTTGAATTAGTGTTTTTGTTTTTTTTGGGTAGACGCACAGTAATGGAATTACTAGATTATATGCTATTCCTATTTTTAATCTTTTGAGGTAACTCCATACAATCTTCCACAGTGGTTGCACAATTTACGTTCCCACAACAATGTGTGGTAGTTCCCTTTTTTTCCACATCCTTACCAACACTTTTTATTTTTTCTCTTTTTTTAAAAAAAAGTTTATTTTTGAGAGAGAGAACATGATTAGGGGAGAGGCAAAGCGGGGGGACACAGTATACAGAGAAGGTTTTGTGCTGACAGCAGACAACCCAATATGGGGCTTGATCTCACAAACCATGAGATCATGACTTGAGTTGAAGTTGGACGCTTAACCAACTGAGACACCCAAGTGCTCCTTATATTTTTAATACTAGTCATTCTGACTGGTGTGACCTATCTCACTGTGGTTTTGATTTGTAATTCCATGATGATTAGTGGTGTTGATCGTCTTTTCATATCTGTCATCCTTTGTAAGTTTTTTGGGATTTTGTTTGTTTCTTTGGTTTTGTTTTTGGAAAGGAATAATGTCTAATCAGGTCCCCTGGTCATTTTTAAATTGGATTTTTTTTTGGGTTTTGAGTTATATAAATCTTTTATACATTTCTATATTAACCCCTTATCAAATATATCATTTGCAAATGTCTTATCCTATTCACTAGGTTGCCTTTTGTTTCTTTGTACTTTCCTTCCCTTTGCTAAAGATTTTTATTTTGTTGTAGTCATAATAACTTATTTTTGTTCTTGTTTGCCCTACCTGGAAAGACAAATTCATAAATATGTCACTAAGGGAGACACCCAAGAGATTACTACATATATTTTCTAGGAGTTTATGTTTTCAATTCTCACATTTAGGTCTTTAATCAGTTTTGAACTTATTTTTGTGTATGGTGTAAAAGGTGGTCCATTTTCATTCTTTTGCACGAAGCTGTCCAGTTTTTCTAAAACCATTTGTTGAAAACACTATTATTCTTTACATATTTTTGCCTTTTTTTTTTTGGTACATTAATGTGTGGGTTTATTTCTAGGCTTTCAATTTTGTTCCATTGATGTTGTGTTTATTTTTGTTCCAGTACTATACTGTTTTATTTACTACCACATTGTAGTACAACTTGAAATCTGGAATTGTGATACCTCCAGCTTGTTTTTTCTTTCCTGAGATTACTTTCGCTATTTGGGGACCTTTGTGGTTACATACAAATTTTAGGATTTCTTGTTCCAGTTCTGTGGAAAATGGTGTTGGTATTTTGATAGGGATTGCATTATATGTCTATAGCGCTATGATCTGTAAACACACTTAATCAGTATTTGTTCTTCCAATGTGTGAATGTGAAATATCCATCCATTTGTTGTATCGATTTCAGGTTGTTTCATCAGTGTTTTATAGTTTTCAGGATGCACGTCTTCCACTTATCTTGTTAAGCTTATTCCTAGGTATTTTAGAATTTTGGGGTCAACTGTAACTGATATTGTTTTTCTAAGTTCTCTTTTTGTTACTTTATTATTAGCTTATAGAAATTCAGTGGATTTCTATACATTGATTTTGTATCCTGCGACTTTACTGAATTCATTGATCACTTCTAGTAGTTTTTTGGTGGAGTCTTCAGAGTTTTCTCTGTATAGTATCTTCTCATCTGCAAATAGTGATAGTTTTATATTTCCTTACCGATTTGAATGCCTTTTATTCCTTTTTCTCGGCAGATTGCTGTGGCTAGAACTTGTAGTACTCTGTTGAATAAAAGTGGTGAGAGTGTATAATCTTATCTTATTCCTGACCTTAGGAGAAATACTCTCAGTTTTTCACCATTGAGTATGATGTTTGCTGTGGGTTTTTCATACATGGGCTTTACTACGTTGAGGTTTTTTCCCTCTAAATCTGCTTTGTAAGGGATTTTTAATATGAATGGACATTGTACTTTGTCAATGTTTTTTTCTGCATATATTGAAAGGATAATATGGTTCTTACCCTTTATTTTATTAATGTGGTATATCACATTGATTGGTTTACTTTGAATTATTTGCATACTTTGATCTACAGTTGTTTATGGGAATAAATTCCTCTTGATTGCGGTGAATGATTTTTGTAATGTATTGTTGGACTCTGTTTGCTAACACTTTGTGAGAATTTTTACATCTATTTCATCAAAGATTGGCCAAGAGTTCTCTTTTTTGTTTGTTTGTTTATTTTTAGTGTCTTTGTCTGGTTTTGGTATCAGGGTAATACTAGTTTTATAGAATGAATTTGGAAGTTTTCTTTATTCTTCTAGTTTTTTTGGGGGGTGGAATAATTTGAGAAGAACAGGTTATTTACTCTTCTTTAAATGTTTGCTAGAATTCACTTGTGAATCTGTCTGGTCCTAAATTAATATTTTGATTAATCATTCCGTTTCATTCCTGTTAATCAGTCTGTTCAAATTTTCTATATCTTCCTGATTCAGATTTGGGAGGTAACATGTTTCTAGGATATTATCCATTTCTTCTATGCTACCCAATTTCTTGGCATATAATTTTTTTAATAATATTGTTTTACACTTCTTTGTGTTCCTGTAATATCATTTCTTATTTCTTCTTTTTCATTTGATTTTCTTTATATGAACCCCCCTCACTCTATCTCTCTTTTCTTTTTATGAGTCTGACTAGAATTTTATGAATTTTGTTGTTCTTTTCA